TCTATCATCTTGATTTACGTCCAATCTCATTCAAAAGATGTTCAGATCACGTGTACACATTCAAACAAAGCCACCATTGTCCTCACTAGGCCAGTATCTATATACTGATAAATAGCTGAAGGATATTGGAAGAGTTAATGTACTTGTACTTAAGTACCACTCTAAAGAACTTGTATTTTACTTCACCCTCTCTTAATGGACACTCTCTATAGCATACACCTCCATTTAACGGACAGCACCTAGTGTACCAATTACATTCCTTACTGTATAAAATAACCTCCACATAAAGGACACCTCTGTATAACAGAGACACTTTCTTGACCCAAAGTGTCCATTATATAGAGGCTAGTTTGTGTCATTATACTACTTATGCATGGTCATGTACATGTACGTGTGTGTGTGTGGAGTAGACTGATGTGTAGATTATTAGTTTGTTATGATATTGTTTTATGTTATTAGATTAACTTATTGTTTTTAGAGAGGATCAATCCCACACTCCAGACACTCGTAATTATATAAACCGTGACAACATGTATACACACAATAATGCTATGTACATATATATACATGTATGTCTGGAAAATCACACTCTACACTACATTCTATACACACACTACACTACTACTAATATGTGTATCTAAACACTAGCTGATATGCTAATAGGATCAGAGGAGGAGTGTTTGTATTTTTAATTGTTAGTTTGTTTGTGTGCATGTTACTGCTACCCCTCCCTCTGTCTATAACTATTCTTCATATTTGTATGTGTACATGTATATTGTATGGCGGACATACATTTCTTTAATTCATTCACACTTCTTCTCATGGGATGAATATTAGTCAAGCAAATAAGGCATTCTTTAATATGCCACCTGTACAAATGGCAGCTTGGAATGGAAGCAACACTGTGTGATATTTTAAAGAATAAGAATTTGTCCTGATAATATACATGTAGTTGTATCTAAAAAAAAACATCTGTCTTTCCACAGTAGCTTATAATTATGGAATAATTTTGTTGATTGTTTATAGGTTTAGTTCAAATGATCTTGATTGTGCATTCAATTTCAGGTGTGGTCGTAATTAAATCAAAATTAAAAGGAATGAACATGAACATATTGGATTAGGCACTTTTTGTATTGGTGGAATTTTATTGTGTAATGTTATATAATAATGATGACATCAGAATTGATATTTGATATACATGTACTTTATTCACATGTACATGTAATTGTTTTTTACTACCTATTCTTAATACATGTACAGTGTAGCCTCTTTGTTAAAGACACCACTGGGCCCACACTACCTGTCCTTAATACAGAGGTGTCCTCATTTCAGAGGTACTTTTGTACAGGCTTGTACCAATTGGGACGTTACAAAATTCCCTCATTATAAAGGTGTCCTCATTATAAAGGTGTCCTCATTATAAAGGTGTAAATTTGTTACATTTTTCAATTCATTTTAACGTTATTCCTCCATTCAGTTTTCCTATGAATCATTCCTAACACGAGTCATTAATTGGAATATCTTCACACTAGCTTAAGTACATGTACATTAATTATCACCAGCTCTCCTCTTCACAATACTGTATACATGTAT